AAGGAATGTGAAATAAAGACTATGTCAAACATAAAAGCTAGCCGGGCTCGGTGGCTCAGCCTGTAATCCCACGCTTTTGGGAGGCTGAGGTGAGTGGACTGCCTGAGCCCGCGGGTTCGAGACCTACCTGGGCAATTTGGCAAGACCTCATCTCTACAATAAATCAAAAAATTGGCTGGGCGTGGTAGCGCGCGACTGTAGTTCCAGCTACTTGGAAGGCTGAGGCGGAAGGATCGTCGGAGCCCAGCAAGTCGAGGCTGCGGTGGCCGGGAGCGGCCACTGGACTCCGGTCTGGGCGACAGAGTGAGACTCCAACTCAAAAAATAAATAAATAAATAAAATAAAAGCTGAAAAGGTCATCAGCAGCAAACCTACAACATACACACACACAAATGTTAAAGGAAGTCCTTCAGGTGCAAAAATGATAGCAGACAGAAACAACCTCCAACAAAGTAATGAAGAGCACCAGAAATCTTAATTATGTGGGTAAATATACATGACAACAATAGAACAAGGAAGAGAGAAACAGAAATATACTGTAGTGAGGTTCTCATATTTACTAACATTTGAAGGTAGACTAATAAATAGAAGTATATACTATAAACTCTAAAGCAACCACTGAAATCAAAGACTGCTTAAAATTTTTAAAAAGTCGACGAAGCTGATAAAATGGAACCATAGCTTCCATATGATCCAGTAATTCCACTTCTGAGAATATACTCCAAGGAATATAAATAGCTCTATCAAAAAGACATCTGTGTATGTCCACTGCAGCACTATTCACAACAGCAAAAATATTAAGCCAATCCAGATGTCTATCAAAGGTAGACTGGATAAAGAAAATGTGGTATATGTACATGATAAAATACTATGCAGCCACAAACAAGAACAAAATCATGTCCTCTGCAGCAATATGGATGCAGTTGGAGACCGTCATTCGAAATGAACGATCACAGAAACAAACAACTGAATACCACATGTTCTTACACGTAAGTAGGCCCTAGACATTGGGCACATGAGCAGAAAGGTGGGAACA